AATAAAACAGAAGCAATATTGTAACACATTCAATAAAGACTTTAAAAATGGTTCACATCAAAAAAAAAAAACTTTAAAAAAGTGAAAAAATAACCCACAGAATGGAAGGAAAGATGTACAATTCATATATCTGCTAAGAGACTTGTATCTAAAATATATAAAGAATCCTTACAATCTAACAATAAAAAGACAAATAATCTAACTTTAAAAGGGCTAAGGATTTTAATAGACATTTCTCAAAAAAAGATATACAAATAGCCAATAAACACATGAAAAGATGTTCAACATCGTTAATTATTAGGGAAATGCAAATAAAAACCACAATGAGATACCACTTCATACCCATTAGGATGGCTATAATAAAAAAGACAGACAATAAGAAGTGTTGGTGAGGATATGGAGAAATTGAAACCCTCAAACATTGCTGGTGTGAATGTAAAATGGTGCAGCCACTTTTGCAAACGGTTTGGTAGTTCCTCAAAAAGTTAAACATAGAGTTGCCATATGACCAAGCAATCCCACTCCTAGGTATCTACCCAAGAGAAAAGAAAACATACATTCACACAAAAACTTGTACACAAATGTCCTTAGCAACAGTATTTAAAATAGCCAAACGTGAAAACAACTGGAATATCTATCAACTGACTAATGAATAAACAAAATGTAGTATATTCACACAATGGAATATTATTTGGCAATAAAAGCAAATGTCACATGCAACAACATGGATGGACCTCAAAACCAGTACGCTAAGTGGAAGAAGCCACTCATAAAGGCCAATATATTGTATGATCCAATTTATATAAGATGTCTAGACTAGACAAATCAATAGAGACAGAAAGTGCATTAGTGGCTGCCTACAGTTGTGGGGAGGGGAGTCATGGGGAGTAACTGCTAATGAGTATGGAGCTTCTCTTAGGGGGGAATAAAAATGTTCTAAAATTGATTGTGGTGATGGCTGCACAACACTGTGAATATACTAAAGACCACTGAATAGTACCCTTTTAAAGGGTGAATTTTATGGTGTGTGAAATATATCTCAATAAAGCTGTAACAAAAAGATGGAAGCAACAACAGGATGTCTGTGTGCTAATGGGAATGAATTTGTAGAGAGGGGGAAATTGAGGTAGGAGAGAGAGGGGGATATTGCTGAAGCAATGTACTCAAGTAGGTAAGAGGATGGGATCTAGTGCCAAAGTGGAAGGACAGGATTTTGATGACAGCAGGGACAGTTTTTCCATAATAACAGAAAAGAAGGCAGAGTATATGAGTACAGATGCTGCTTGGTGGTTGGATGTGGTAGTGGGAATCAGTGGAGGTTTTCTTTTGATGGTTTAAAATTTTCAGTCAAGTATGCAGCCTGAGCCTAGGATGGGAGAGGAGGTGTTGGAGATTTGAGGAGAGAGAAGGTATGAAATAGTTATCTAGAAGGATAGGACAGTGAATGGCCTAAGAAAGTACAGTGGAGCTGGCAGAGGTGGATTTAAGCAGGGCTGGGGTTTTGCCTGATAAGTATGCTAAAGTGACAGAGGGCAAGGGAAGTGAGGATGTATGCAAGGGAATGATTATTATGATGGACCACGGAATCTAAGCTGATTGAAGGAAGGACATGGGAACATGGAGGAAGTAGAGGGTAATGAAAACGTTCAGTTCCAGTGGCATTGAAGGATTGTTGGAATTGGGGTGCTAGAGGGAGTGAGCTAGAAGGATAAGTACTGGTTGGAGAGCAGGATGCCTGAAACTGAGATTATGGAGGAGATGCAGTCACAGATACTGATAAGAAGGGTAAGACTATCAGGGTGCGTGGCTGAGGTGGGGCTGAAAGGCAAGAGCACTGTAGAAGAGCAGACAGAACTGAGAGACAAGACCACTGGAAGGGTCATCTACGAGGATATTAAAATCACCAAGAAGTAGGACTGGAGTAGTGTTATAGAGTGACAGTAAGCTAGTAGCTAAATCCTTCTAGGAATGAGGCGTGACTGGGGCAGGTATGTGTGTATGTCTGTACCTGACTACAACACACAGGTAGGTGATGGTATAGTCTGATGAGTTGAGATTTAAAACAAAGTGGTTGATATTTATATAATCTTAATGTATCTCTCTACAAATTACTTATTAATTACAAAGGAAAAAGAGTAACTACAATGGAGAAACCTGGAGACACTAACTTAAACAAATAGTCAATGTGAACAAAACCAGTATTGGGATAAACTGACATCATGTGCCTCCTGATATAAAGCACTGAAGACACATCTCTTCTGTGGTATTCTTGCCAAAATTACATAACTTAACTGTAATCACAAGGAAACATCAGACAAACCCAAGTTCTATAAAATAGCTGGCCAGGACTCTTCAAAAGTATCAAAGTCATGAAAGACAAAGAAAGACTAAAGAACTGTCCCAGATTAAAAGTGCCTAAGGAGATATGACAACTAAACACAATGTGGGATCCTGAATTAGATCCTAGAATAGAAAAATTATATTAGTGGAAAAACTGATGAAATTCAAATAGGTTCTGTACTTTCATTAAGAGTATTGTACCAATGCTAATTTCCTAATTTTGATAATTGAACTGTACTTGTATAATTTCTTAACATTTGGGGAATGTAAGTGAAGGATATATGGGAATTCTTTGTACTATTTTTATAACTTTTTAAAAGTCTGAAATTATTAAAAATAAAAAATTTTAATTCTAAAAAACCAGAGCGTTTAAGGAGGAGGGAGAGAAAATGTCTGGGAAGGACATATAGAGTGAGGACACCTACCCCCATGTCCTGGCCTCCTGGCAGGAGGGGTATGAGGAGGCTGCTGGGGGAGCAGAGTGCTCAGGGGAAAGCCAGATTTCTATTCAAGCAGTGGTTCTCAGTGGGGGATTGAATAGACAGTCAAGGGGTGTTTCGGAGACATTTTTGACTGTCAAAATAATTGGAGATTATAGTGACATTTAGTGGGCATTGACCAGGGATGCTCAGCATTCTGCAGTGCACAAGACAGCTCCACACAGCAAAGAATCGTACTGCATCCCATATGACTTTAGAATGTTCCACCAGACAATCATGTAGGTGAAAAACGTGTTCATTCATTCATTCAACAAACATTTATTGATTGAGCCTACTGTGTCCAAGCACTGTTTTAGGTAATAGGGATACATCAAGGCACAAAAAAGACAACCATCTCTGCCCTTCTGGAGTTTACAATCTAGTGGGAGAGTCAAACAATAAACAACAAACATAATAAAGATATGTAAGAGAGTGAGGAGCACTATGGAAAAAACAGATAAGGGTACGTGCTAGGGGATAGTTGCAATTTTAAACAGGATGGTTGGGGTAGGCCTCATTGAGAAAGTGACATCTGAGTAGAGGCCTGAAGGAGGTGAGGGCATGAGCTTTGTGGATATTGGTGGGGGGCAAGCATTCTAGGTACAAGGGATGGCCTAGTACAAGCCCCTGAGGTGGATGTGTGCCTAATATGTTCAAGTAGCCTAGAGGAGGTCAGGATGGGTGAAAGAGAGGGAGCAAATGGGGACAGTGGTAGGAGATGAGGTCAGAGAGGTTATGGGAGCCAGATCATGGATTTTAATATATAATGACTTTTACAGTAATTCAACAACCATATAAATTGAGGGAAGATTGCACTTTGTTTTGTTTAGAACCTTATGAAGAATTGTTCATCATCTAGGAAAATTGCATCACCCTATCCATGGTTTCTGAGTCACAGTGTAGCTGTCACACTCCCAGGTACAAGCATCGTATGTGCAAGACCATTTCATTATGTCTTCTAGTGGAATTATATCCCAGCCTTTACATATTGAAATACATATTGTTTTATTATAAATTATTTTTCCTTTACTTCTCCCTTATATTGAATTAGACATTTTATTGATTTGGGGGGGAATTATGTGTGTAGACAGATTCTATTATCTATGCACTTCAATTCAGAACAGTGAAAGAGATGTTTCAAAACATACATCATAAAAATGGAGTGTTGTGTTCAAAAGGTATGAGAACCACTAAGGCATGGCAAGAAAACAATGGGACTATTCAGAAATCAGGGAGAGAATGAAGGGGATTTTGCTGATGACTGAAGGTGAGTTCCAGAGGCCTGGTCAATTCCAGGGCTGTATGGGAATGTAACTAGGAGACCCCTGGTCTCTGATCTTCTTGTGGAGACTAACACGATACAGGATAAGGGCCTGATCCACTTTTTCATCTAAGCTGCTCCCCACCCTGGCGGAGGGTGTCTCACCTGTTTAACACAGGAGGGTGGGGAACAAAGAGGGTTGTCTCCTCAATGAGGCCAGAAGCAGCCTAAGGCCAGCTCCATTTGTTTACCCCCAGAACAGACAAGAACCCCAGACTAAGCTCATAGGCACTCTCAGGCCAAGCTCATTGCTATAAACAATGCACCTCTAACCTGTTTAGGGATGGGAAAGAGGCAGAAAAAGGAAAAGCAATAACAGAGAAAGACAGAAGCATTCAGAAAGAAGAACAAGTTGGGGTGGGGGTAGGGTCAGAGACAGGGAGAAAATAAAGCCAAAGGCCAAGAGAGACTATATTCTTTTCAATTATAACTGTCATTATTTATTGAAACTTTTCAAGGGGCCAGGCACTGGGCAAAGTGATGCACTGTATTGTCTCAGGTGGAGATTATTAGACTCCCATTTGACAGATGGGGAAACTGAGGCCCAGCTGGGTGAGGCTCAAGGTCTTATGGCTAGTTTTAACTGGTTGGGTCAGGATTCAGCCTTATAGGCCTGGGCGGTCTACTATATCTCAGAGAGGGAGCCAGACAGAAAGATAGAGACAAACAGAAAGATGGAGATAGAGACAGAGGAAGGGGGAACGGGGTGGGCAGAGAGTGAGAGACAGACGGAGACTTACAGACACGCAAGCAGACGATCACGTGAGCTGCAGACCTGCACAGTACACCGTTTCCCAAGAGACAGGAATTGGGGGACCGCGGAGGGTGGGCATGGGCGGTGGGCTCCGCAGGGTACTCACCTGGTTGCCGTCTGGGGGCCGCAGGAGCACTCGCCCTCCCCTTGCTACCCGCACGATACTCCGCAACCCGCTGACCTAGGGTTGAGAGGCCGCCCAGGTAAAAGCTCGCTCAGGTCCCACCCCTCACGCGCTCCAGCCCGGCATCTTTCCCACCGCGTCCTCCACCCCACGTCTTTACAGCGTCTCACCGGGAACCTCGGGCCGTCGGTGCAGCCGCTGCCTCGCGCGAGTAGATTCCAGGGACCGGCAGCTGGATCTCGCGAACGCACTGGACGCGTCCCTCCCGCTTGCTGGAGCGCTAGCGGGGTCGCAGGCCGCCACCGCTACCGACGGCTCCAGACTCCCATTGGAGGAGTGCCCTCCTGTCTTCCCTGGGATTGGCTGGAGATGGACACACTTTATTTTTACCCCCCAAGCCAGGATCCAGGCCGAAGAAAACCCGCCCCTTTGGGGGTCTTTGATTGGTTTATAAGCTAAGCCCACCCTCTAATAGGATTGGCCAGGAGGAGGATCTTCATCGCTTTTTGCCAGTCCATTCGACAGGTCTTCGGGCAGTTAGTTGGGAGCACGCAGGCGCGAACCCCAAAGTGAGGCCTGGCGCGAGTCACAAGACGATCGGAGGCGCGCGGCTTCTTGACGTCTTATTCTCCGTAAGCCACCTTGCGTGAGCCACCGCTCCGCTAAGAGACACGACTCTGCCCTCAGTTTTCCATAGCTTACCCCCACCTGCAGGGATTTCTGAGCCAGGTTTCTCTCGCTCAAAGTGAACGTAGTTCCTAGTTTTATCCCTGGAGGATGAGGTGGTTATAGAGGTCTGGCCAGTCACCCACCAGCCCCTGCTACTTACTGATTAAGACATTGGTCGAGTGACAGCCTCGCTTGGAGCCTCAGTTTAACCATCTGTGAAATGGGAAGATAATTTAAAAAAATCTTCCCTGAAAATGCCATTCATTCAATGGAGGATTCAATGAGAGAACATAAATTAATTGCCTGGAGCATAAATAATTAAGGTCTCCCCTCCCAATTCTTGCCTTTGCCGTTGTTTCAGACTTAGGGAACTATGGCCCAGAGAGGCAAACTGTTTGGCTTGAGGTCACACAGCAATAAGACCCAGCATAAAACCTAGGCTTCTGTCCTCCAAACGAAAGGGGTTTAAGAAGAAAGGAGATACAGGAAGGCCCTTCCTATTACCAGGGTTTCTTAATTTGGGTTCACAGATCTCCCTCCAATCCAGTCCAGGGACAGGGTTTAGAGGGGTCCATGAATTTGGATGGGAAAAAAATTACATCTTTGTTTTCACTCTCCTCTAATTGAAATTTAGCATCTTTTCAGTAAAGAATGTAACTGACCATAGTATAATAGTGATAGTACCTGTGACTCTGTTACTAATAGAAATCACAGAGATTTTTATATCATATTATAGATGTTGTACATTTCTTGAAATATCATGTAATCTCATCTCTATCTCAAAATCATGATTGTCATTAGACTCTCCATTAGATCTCACAAGGATCATATATATTACTATAACATATTTGCTTTTCCATATTTTAGTAACTATTTTTCAATATAGTCAATATTTTGTGGCTCTAGGTATCTTATTTTATGCATTCAAAAGATACTGTTTTCTGAGAAAAGATGCATAGGCTTCACCAGATCACCAAACAGGTCCATGGCACACAAAAAATGTTAAGAACACTTGTCTTCAACTCTGGGCTCCAGGGGGACAAAGACTTGGTCTATTCATGTTTCCTTGTTGTAGTCCTATCACCGAGTTTCTATCAGGCACACAGCAGGTGCTCAGTAATGTTTACTGAATGAAAAATAGGATGCTTCCTAATGAAAAACAGGATCCTCCACACCCCCAACTGAGGGAGCCACTGATGGCCTTTTTGATCACCAAAGAAAGAGGGATCTAGTTTCCTGAATCTAGTTTTGTCCCTGCCAATCTGCTTTTATTCACAGAAGTGGGTGGTACTTTTAAGGTCTGGCCCCAGGAAGTCCTTGGAACCTTACCCTCAGGAGCAGGGCCCTCTGCTCCAAGGGAGTTGGGTGAGTTGTGAAGGATACAAGGACAAGTAGCTTCAGCATGGGAAAGGCCCTGGGGCACATTGGGCCTATGACTCCTCATTCTCCTCCTGGTTTCTGTTTGGGGTCCCAGCAAAAGGGCCTGTCTTCACTGGTCTTCAGCAAAGACTGTATTTTGGAGTTGGATGAGACCTTAAAGACCTTCTAGGAGAGTCTTCCCTTTTGGAGGACCAGACTAGGCAGGACCTGAATGAAGCCACACCACACAGTGAGGAGTGAGGGCACAGGGAAAAGATGTCACCCTAGGCAAAGAACATTTTCTCCTCCCATGCCTCAGTCCAGGACATGAGCATCCTGGCCAGCTATATTAGAATCCCATAATTGGGTCCTAACAGTGTCCCTGAAGTCAGAGGCCCTCTCTAACAGGGTGGGTGAAGAGGGGCCTCAAATGCCAGGATGAGGGGCTAGGGATTTGATTAGAGAAACAGAGAGGAATCAGGTAAGAGCATGATGAAGGCCAGGCTTCAGAGGTCTGCTTCAAGGCTAGACTCCATCTTGGGATCTTAGGCTGGTTGCTTCTCCTGGGCTGATCCCCCAGCATGATTAGCCTATTTGCAGATGGGAAAACTGAGACCCTCTATAGAGGGTGAGGAAGTCACGTTGTGAGCCAGAGTATATTGAGGCAAGGATACCCAGGCTGTCTCTCTCTTGAACTGACAGGGATCCTCTTGCCAGGCTGACCTCTTCCTGGCCCACTCCAGGTCCTTTGCCCCTCCTGCTTACCCTGCCCCTCCAATTCATCACATACTCATTGGGACTGGCTCCAGATACTGCACATAGGTGTCTCTTCCCTCTGCACAAGATGCCTTGACTCAGCATCCTGCACTCTCAGCTCTGGCCCTGGGGCAAGATGTTCTCCTTTCTGAGCCAGAGTCTCCTCTATCCACTTCTGACAGTGTGGTCCCAGGTCAGAACTAGAGGCATCCAAGCTTCCATGCTCTCCCCAAAACATTTATCAGAATCTGGAGTATGTCCAAGATCTGGTATTCCAACCATTTCACAGAGGAGGTCCCACAGCAACCTGGCAGTCATCCCTGACTTCTCTCAATCCCTCTCTTCCTATATCTAAAGCCTGTTGATTCCAGCATCTTAAAATCACAGAATACACACATTTCTCGTACAGGAGAATTCCAATTAATTTATGTAGATACTTCCTCCCCCTTGAGGAGTTGGAGGATAACTCCCCACTCCCTAAGCACGGGCTACACTTAGTGGCTTCCTTCCAAAGAGTACAGTATGGAAGGTGGGGGAATGGAGTAATTTTACAGTGGAGAAACCTGACATATACTACCTAAGCCAGGTGATCAGGTTAACATCAACAGTGATAAGGCATATCGATAGCGTGTACCCTTGATAGGATATGAAGAGAATGGTACTTTATTTCTGTGGTCTTCCTTTCCCAAACCCATAACCCCAGTCTAATCATGAGGAAAACATCAGACAAATCCCAGTTGAGGGACATTCTGCAAAATACCTGACTAGTAGTCCTCAAATGTTGATGACTCCAGGTCATCAAAAACAAGAAAAGTGTGAGAAACTGTCACAGCCAAGAGAAGTCTATGGCAACATGATGATTAAATGTAATGTTGTGTCCTGGATGGCATCCTGGAACAGAAAAAGGAAATTTGGTAAAAACTAAGGAAATCTGAACAAAATATGGAATTTAGTTAATAATAATGTATTGATATTTGTTGTGACACATGTATCATACTAGAAGTCCAATGCGCTATCCATTGCGCCACGGAGCCACCTACATGTATCATACTACATGTAAGATGTTAACAATAGGGGAAACTGGCTTTAGGGTATACGGACACTCTCTGTATTATCTTTGCGATAATTCTGTAAATCTAAAACTTCTAAAAGAAAAAATTTATTTTAAAAACCTTCCATTATTGCCCCCATCACGCCACTCTCACCTTAGGTATAGCGTCAGCTTCCTCACTGCTCTCCCTCCCTCCAATCCATGCTCCGGGCAGCCAGCAGAGGGCATTCTGTAAAACGCAAATCTGACCCAGTCTGAAGACTTCCAGCAAAGTAAGGGCGTTGGATGGAAAGTTCGGGAGGTATATTACAGAAGACATACCTGGATATCTGTGTAAATTATCGTTATGATCCAGAAAGAATCTGGGAGGTTTTTCTGGTGTCCGTGGAAATAAAGTTACTGTATCCAAAATTTAAAGCCACTGGGCCTTTCAGACGCCCAACTCCCCCCCCCCCCCCCCCCCCCCCCCCCCCGCCGGTCACACAGCTACATAGTAATTTTCCTTTGCTTTTCTTTTATCTCTATGCAAACTCCCCAGCCTGGGCTGTCTTTTCTTGCCTTCTCTCCCAGGTCCAGCTCCAGGGATCCTACACCCCCTTCCTAAGACGAGAGAGCACTCCGGCATTATTGGATTGTTAAGTCCCGACCGGTATCATTTTTATTTTACTACATGCGAGCAAGAAAAATGGATTCCTCTGGTTCCCCCACACTCAGCTCATACTAGGCCCGAGGAAAGGTTTGACGCACGATAAATAAAAAGATGAATCACTGAATAAATGGATGTTCTAGGGCCCAGGGCGTTCCTGTGCGCGTGCGCGGAGGGGAAGGCGTGGGATGCTGTTTGCCACCTGCCTGGGTCTGCTGCGGCCGCCCGGAGAGGGAGGGGCTTCCTCGGCCTCGCCCTGCCATTGGCCAGGATGGTCCGCATTGGCCTGACGCAACATTTCTGCGGTCCCGCGGAGCTCGCCCCCAGCCAGCCACCCCCACCCCCAGCAACTACCATCTTGCAGGCCACTGCGTAGGCGAGGCGACTACTTGCGGGCCTGTGGGAAGGGAGACTGGCTGCTGGGGACCGCGCACCGAATGGGACAAAAGACTCGAAGCAGCACTCTGAATTTGCTCAGAATTTTATTAGGATTACCAGGGTTCACAGGGAACGAGGCGGGACTTCTGGGGGAGGGGGACCAGAATACCGCAATGGCGAAGCGGCCTTGCATAGACACCGAGGCGGGCTAGCGGGCACAGCGGGGAAGGGCGAGGGATGGAGGGAAAGAGACGGGAGAACAGGGTGGCGGCAGAGACCCCCAAGGCCACAGCGGCCCTCCCCGCTTTGGGATCAAGGGTGTCCACTCCACACAGCACGAGGAGGGGGATAGAGGGGCCCTGACCAAGGCATCACAATAAATACGTTTAGCAGCACACAGAAGCCTGCGGGAGAGGAGGGCCAAAAGGAAGGGGGAATCCCCCTTTCCCTCCGCCCAAAATAAGAACTCTGCAATTACTAAACCATAAAAATAATCTTTAAACCCGTGTACGAAGTCAGTCATCCCCCAGAAGTGCAATATGGGGCCGCTCGGCCCT